TCTGTCTCTGGTGTCTCTCTGTCTCCCTCTCTCTCTCTGCTCTTTCTCTCTCTCTCTGGTCTCTCTCTCTCTCTCTCTCTCTCTCTCTCTCTCAGCCTCATATTTCTCCATTAGTCCCTCCTTTAGCACCTCTGGTGTCTCCTATTAAAGACAGTTCTGCATGGCTCGGCCCGGCACCATCCATTGCCACGGTAACGGGCGGTCGGGTAGGGGAGGGGCACACCCCATTAGTCCTGGTTAGTCCGGTTTATGAAGATTAAAGTCTCACCGACTGTGGCTCTGGTCCAGGTCTAAAGTTTCACAACTCTGCAAGATTTAGAATCAAATATCAGAGAGACCAGAAAGAGACCAGAAAGAGACCAGAGAGAGACCAGAGAGAGACCAGAGAGAGAGACCAGAGAGAGACCAGAGAGAGACCAGAGAGAGACCAGAGAGAGACCAGAGAGAGAGACCAGAGAGAGACCAGAGAGAGACCAGAGAGAGACCAGAGAGAGACCAGAGAGAGACCAGAGAGAGACCAGAGAGAGACCAGAGAGAGAGACCAGAGAGAGAGACCAGAGAGAGACATATATTATTATTATTTTGGTTTTTTGGGGGGTTTTTTTCAGATAAAACAGTAAAATATATATATTGTTTTCTTTTCCAAACCAATGTTCTTGTCTGGAGCTGAGTCTGAAACATCTGTGAAAAAAAACAAAAAGCTGTCAGTGAGAAACCAGCTGTGAACATAAAACCAGTTATCATTGTTTACCTCATGCTGTGCTCCTCATTCTACTGCTCTGTGCCTGATGATGCAACACTGACATTTCTCTGTGAGAGTCAAGGATCTTCACCCTCAAAACAACACAATACATCAAACTATCGCTGTTGAACAGAAGAAATGTGAAGAACTCAGCACTACTTCAGAAAGAGCACATCCCAGCAGTGACCGCAGTCCGACACCAGAGGGCGCCACACACAGGACCCGCACGGTCTCTGTTTGGTGTTAGACTCTTTCACATGAGGCTGAATTATGGTCTGTGTTTTATTTAAAGCTGCGGAACAAAACTTTTTGGTTTAATAAAAACTACATGGTATTAACAGTTAGACGAAAATACTGAGAACAAAGAAGAAGAAGGACCCAGGGAGAGACCAGAGAGAGACCAGAGAGAGACCAGGGAGAGACCAGAGAGAGACCAGAGAGAGAGACCAGAGAGAGACCAGAGAGAGACCAGAGAGAGACCAGAGAGAGAGATCATGTGCTCAGGCCACAGCTCCTGGAGTGCGCAGACCTTCAGTGAAATGAGATGTAGAGCACACAATGGCCTCATGAATGATTATGGAAATGCCGGGCCCCGCGGCTGCAGAAGGCAATCAGGCGCCGTGTCGTGTGCAGAGACATGAGGCGTCCCGGTGCGTCTGCGTGTTTCTGTAATGACTACAATCTTTCATGCCTTTGTTTGTGTTGCGTCTCCAATTTGCTCCGAGAATGACCGAAACTATTAACCCTCAGGTGTCTTGTCTTTTAGTCGCCGCAGAACGAATCAACATTACTTGATTCTCTTTTTACAACCAAATCTACCAACTTCTTTTTAAGCTGCAGTTTAGAAATCACTGTTTCCATTTATAGACTCTGATGAGACTGTATTTTCATGTTTTAGAAATTACACTTTCCAGTTGCTTAAAGCACTGATAAATCTCTATTGTGTTTGTCAATGCACTTGTATACAGTAGAACTCAATTCAATTCAAGTTATTCTTGTATTGCCCTAAACCAGAACAGTAGTATCTCTGAGGACAGCCTGGGGTCGGGGCTCGAAAGCGAGCGCCTGGTGGCCGGGTCTTAGCCCACGGGGCCCGGCCGGGGTCAGCCCGAATGGACGACGTGGGCCAGCCCTCCTGTAGGCCCACCACCTGCAGAGGGGTCCATGGTGGGGAAGTGCAGAGAGGACTGGGCAGCGGTCGAAGGTGGAGACCTCGGCGACCCAGTCCACACACACAACATCTGGCAAGGAGCCCGAGCTCGTGGGGGAGGTTGAGAGATACCGAATAGAGATAGTCGGCCTCACCTCCTCACACAGCTTGGGTTCTGAACCCAACTCCTTGAGAGGGGTTGGACGCTCCACTTTTCTGTTGTTTCTTGCGGGGAGAGGCCGCCACGTGTTGGAGTTCTCCCCGGTGAATGAGAGGGTCGCGTCCTTCCGCCTCCGGGTGGGGGACAAGTCTCTCACTGTTGTTGTGCCTACGGGCCAAACAGCAGTGCAGAGTACTCTGCCTTCTTGGAGTCGTTGGGAGGGGTACTGGACAGTGCACCGCCCGGGGACTCCGTTATTCTCCTGGGGGACTTCAACGCCCATGTGGGAAATACCAGTGACACTTGGAGAGGGGTGATCGGGAAGAACAGCCCTGATCGGAACCCAAGCGGTGTTCAGTTGTTGGACTTCTGTGCCAGTCACAGTTTGTCCATCACCAACACCATGTTCGAGCAGAAGGGTGTCCACCAGGGGGCGCCAGGACCTGAGGCCGGGGGTCGATGATCGACTTTGTTGTTGTGTCATCTGACCTTCAGGTGTCTGTGTTGGACACTCGGTTGAAGAGAGGGGCGGAGCTAAAGAGGGGAACGGAGCTAAAGAGAGGCCTCAAAGAGATTCTGGCAAACCATCCAGCGCCTCAGGAGGGGCGGTGCTTTGCCAACACCGTGTACGGTGCGGGTGGCGAAGTCTCTGGATGTTGTAGGACTGTCTTGGCTGACACTTCTCTGCATCATCGCGTGGCAATCGGGGGCGGTACCAATGGAGTGGCAGACCGGGGTGGTGGTCCCTCTCTACAAGAAGGGAGACCGGAGGGTATGTTCCGATTATCATTGGATCACACTCCTGGAGAGGTACTGGAGAGGAGACAACGGCCGATGGTCAAATCTCGGATTCAGGAGGAGCAGTGTGGTTTTCGTCCCGGTCGTGGAACACTGGACCAGCTCTATACTCTCCATCGGATACTCGAGGGTTCATGGGAGTTTGCCCAACCTGTCCACATGTGCTTTGTGGATTTGGAGAAGGCGTTTTACCGTGTTCCCCGGGGTGTCCTTTGGGGGGTCTTCGGGAGTACGGGGTCCGGGGTCCTCTGCTGAGGGCCGTCCGCTCCCTGTATGACCGGAGCCAGAGCTGTGTTCATCAGCAGTAAGTCAGACCTGTTCCCGGTACATGTTGGCCTCCGCCAGGGCTGCCCTTTTTCACAGATTCTGTTCACTGTATTCATGGACAGAATTTCTAGGCGCAGCCAGGGGCCGGAGGGGTCCGGTTCGGAGACCACAGGATTTCATCTCTACTTTTTGCGGATGATGTCGTCCTGCTGGTTCCAACGAACCAGGACCTGCAGCATGCACTGGGACGGTTTGCAGCCGAGTGTGAAGCGGCTGGGATGAGAATCAGCACCTCCAAATCTGAGGTATTTCTGGGTCTTGTTCACGAGTGAGGGAAGGATGGAGCGTGCGCAGTGAAAAGTGTGTGTGGATAGGGAAGTCTGGGTGTCTCTGCTAAGACTGCTCCCCCCGCAACCCGGTAACGGATGAAGCGGAAGAAAAGGGATGGATGGATGTTCCAGTTTTAGCATAAATCTGAAATGCTTTCTCTTCATGTTTACTCCTGACTCAAAGTTCCAGCAGGAGGCCAGTCCCTGTGCTCCTCAGAGTCCCAGCAGGAGGCCAGTCCCTGTGCTCCTCAGAGTCCCAGCAGGAGGCCAGTCCCTGTGCTCCTCAAAGTTCCAGCAGGAGGCCAGTCCCTGTGCTCCTCAGAGTCCCAGTCTCAGTCTCAGTCCTGGATCTACAGCCTGTTCATCCATGAGAGTAGAAACCTCTCTCACTGTAGTTCTCTCTCTTGCAGGAGGCTCAAAGACATACAGTGTATTAGTATTTCTGGACCAATGGCTCCAATGTGTTTGTTATTTTTACCTTTCCTGTTGGATTCTCCGGTCTGCTGTGATTTAGGACGAGACACAAACAAATGTAAATGAGTTGAACGTGTGGTGCTCTTTAAGCAGAGGGTGATGTCACGTATGAACAAAAAAGACTAAATGAACATATTCACAGCAGAAAGAGTAAACTTCAGTCTCAGGTGTGGATAATGGAAGACATGTCACTGCAGCTCTTCAAACATGAGTAATGCCCTGTGCCTGGTCGCTCTGACACACACACACACACACAACGCTAACACAACACACACACACACACACACACACCTCCATTCGTTAAGTGTGCGTCTCTGTTAAGCTAACGAGCGGCCATTAGCTAAAGCAGCTCAGATAAAGCTGGGCGCTGTGATAACTGCCGCTCGCTTCGTCAAACTCAAAACACTTTAAATATGAATCACTGAAGAAACACAACATCCACAAACCCCGGTCAGTCCTGGAGCTTCAGAGGTCCCTGTCCTGATCCTGATCCTGATCCTGATCCTGATCCTGATCCTGATACTGATCCTGATCCTGATCCTGATCCTGATCCTGATCCTCGGACCTTCATCTTCTTGTGTCCTCCGTGTGAGCCACAGAGATGATGCTCCTTGTAAATGGAACACAATGATATTAAATGTGCTGTGACCCTGAGCTCCTTCAAGAGAAATCTAAAGACCCACGTGTTCAGACCCTTGGGCCCATGTATGTGTCATGTGATAAACCACTGTGTGTGATCTTGAATGACGTGTTCCTTCAACCGCTCACATCGAAGCAACTCCCATGAGTTGCCAAATGCCGACAATATTTTCCAACCCAAAACTGAGGAGAAAGCCCCCACAAAAAAACACCCAGAACGTAATGTAATCAACTCAAGACAATCGTGATTCTGTTTATTGTCTTTCTGTTTATTTATTACCTACAAGTCTCACCCAACCTGGCAACCCTGCTGCGTAGTGTTGTCATAGGAACACTTAAACTAGTACTTAAACCACACTTTACACAAACATCCGACTCTTACAACACACATATAATAACATGGGACCATCAACATGGAACCATCAACATGGAACCATCAACATGGAGCCATCAACATGGAACCTTCAACATGGAACCATCAACATGGAACCATCAACATGGAACCATCAACATGGAGCCATCAACATGGAACCATCAACATGGAGCCATCAACATGGAACCATCAACATGGAACCATCAACATGGAACCATCAACATGGAGCCATCAACATGGAACCATCAACATGGAGCCATCAACATGGAGCCATCAACATGGAGCCATCAACATGGAACCATCAACATGGAGCCATCAACATGGAGCCATCAACATGGAGCCATCAACATGGAACCATCAACATGGAGCCATCAACATGGAGCCATCAACATGGAACCATCAACATGGAACCATCAACATGGAGCCATCAACATGGAGCCATCAACATGGAGCCATCAACATGGAGCCATCAACATGGAACCATCAACATAAAACCATCAACATGGAACCATCAACATGGAGCCATCAACATGGAACCATCAACATGGAGCCATCAACATGGAGCCATCAACATGGAGCCATCAACATGGAACCATCAACATGGAACCATCAACATGGAACCATCAACATGGAGCCATCAACATGGAACCATCAACATGGAGCCATCAACATGGAACCATCAACATGGAGCCATCAACATGGAACCATCAACATGGAACCATCAACATGGAACCATCAACATGGAGCCATCAACATGGAACCATCAACATGGAGCCATCAACATGGAGCCATCAACATGGAGCCATCAACATGGAACCATCAACATGGAGCCATCAACATGGAGCCATCAACATGGAGCCATCAACATGGAACCATCAACATGGAACCATCAACATGGAACCATCAACATGGAGCCATCAACATGGAGCCATCAACATGGAACCATCAACATGGAGCCATCAACATGGAGCCATCAACATGGAACCATCAACATGGAGCCATCAACATGGAGCCATCAACATGGAACCATCAACATGGAACCATCAACATGGAGCCATCAACATGGAGCCATCAACATGGAACCATCAACATGGAACCATCAACATGGAGCCATCAACATGGAACCATCAACATGGAGCCATCAACATGGAGCCATCAACATGGAACCATCAACATGGAACCATCAACATGGAACCATCAACATGGAGCCATCAACATGGAGCCATCAACATGGAACCATCAACATGGAACCATCAACATGGAACCATCAACATGGAGCCATCAACATGGAGCCATCAACATGGAACCATCAACATGGAACCATCAACATGGAACCATCAACATGGAGCCATCAACATGGAACCATCAACATGGAACCATCAACATGGAACCATCAACATGGAACCATCAACATGGAGCCATCAACATGGAACCATCAACATGGAGCCATCAACATGGAACCATCAACATGGAGCCATCAACATGGAACCATCAACATGGAACCATCAACATGGAACCATCAACATGGAGCCATCAACATGGAACCATCAACATGGAACCATCAACATGGAGCCATCAACATGGAACCATCAACATGGAACCATCAACATGGAGCCATCAACATGGAACCATCAACATGGAGCCATCAACATGGAGCCATCAACATGGAGCCATCAACATGGAACCATCAACATGGAACCATCAACATGGAGCCATCAACATGGAACCATCAACATGGAGCCATCAACATGGAGCCATCAACATGGAACCATCAACATGGAACCATCAACATGGAGCCATCAACATGGAACCATCAACATGGAACCATCAACATGGAACCATCAACATGGAGCCATCAACATGGAGCCATCAACATGGAGACATCAACATGGAACCATCAACATGGAACCATCAACATGGAGCCATCAACATGGAGCCATCAACATGGAACCATCAACATGGAACCATCAACATGGAACCATCAACATGGAGCCATCAACATGGAGCCATCAACATGGAACCATCAACATGGAACCATCAACATGGAACCATCAACATGGAACCATCCACATGGAGCCATCAACATGGAGCCATCAACATGGAACCATCAACATGGAGCCATCAACATGGAACCATCAACATGGAACCATCAACATGGAGCCATCAACATGGAACCATCAACATGGAACCATCAACATGGAGCCATCAACATGGAACCATCAACATGGAACCATCAACATGGAGCCATCAACATGGACCCATCAACATGGAACCATCAACATGGAACCATCAACATGGAGCCATCAACATGGAGCCATCAACATGGAACCATCAACATGGAGCCATCAACATGGAGCCATCAACATGGAACCATCAACATGGAACCATCAACATGGAGCCATCAACATGGAACCATCAACATGGAACCATCAACATGGAACCATCAACATGGAGCCATCAACATGGAACCATCAACATGGAGCCATCAACATGGAACCATCAACATGGAGCCATCAACATGGAGCCATCAACATAGAACCATCAACATGGAGCCATCAACATGGAGCCATCAACATGGAACCATCAACATGGAGCCATCAACATGGAACCATCAACATGGAACCATCAACATGGAGCCATAAACATGGAACCATCAACATGGAACCATCAACATGGATCCTGATTGGCCGATTATTTTTTGATCTCCTGAAGGAGTTTGGCGTCGATCCCAGACCCTTGTGTTCAGCCAAACGCCTCTGGTGGAGCCTGGCGGAACTACAAGGGTCCAGCGAGAGTCAGGCCAGAGTTCTCCTGCGCCTCACAAACTATCACTGCACAGTTTCACCAACAACTGGATCACAGCTGCCAACACGACTGTGCAGTGACGACGGCAAGAGCACGAGTGCAAAACACGACTGTGCAATACATCTTCATCACATTTCACTTATGACGTTTTTTATACAAGAAATTAAACACAAAGTCCACTTTGGTTAAAAACAATCCCACACAAAAGGGTTCTACTCTGTGTTAGTGTGAGCGAGTTCATGTTATTGTTGCTTTTTACTGCTGTATTTTTCAGAATCAGAATCAGAATCATTTTCTAGGAAATTGTTGTTGGAGATGAGTCCAATGAGGGTGGTGTCGTCCATGAACTTGATCAGCTTCACGGAGTCGTGGCTGGAGGTGCAGTGGTTGGTGTACAGGGAGAAGAGCAGGGGAGAAAGAACACAGCCCTGTGGGGCTCCTGTATTTATAATCCGAGAGTCCGAGACATTCTTCCCCAGACGCACTCGCTGCTTCCTGTCCGTCAGGAAGTCAGTGATCCACCTGCAGGTGGAATCGGGCACGTTGAGCTTGGAGAGCTTGTCCTGGAGCAGGGATGGCAGGATTGTGTTGAAGGCAGAGCTGAAGTCCACGAACAGGACCCTGGCGTAGGTCCCCGGGGAGTCCAGGTGCTGTAGGATGTGGTGGAGGGCCAGGTTAATGGCGTCGTCTACAGATCTGTTGGCTCTGTAGGCGAACTGCAGGGGGTCCAGGAGGGGGGAGGTGAAGGACTTGAGATGAGAGAGGACCAGGCGTTCAAATGACTTCATGACGACAGACGTAAGTGCTACAGGTCTGTAGTCATTGAGTCTTGTGATCCTGGGCTTCTTCGGGACGGGGACTGATGGAGGATTTGAAGCCGGTACATGGCAGGACTGCAGAGAGGTGTTGAAGATGTGGGTGAAGACGGGGACAGCTCCCCACAGTGTCTCAGAGTGACGGGTGAGATTTCCATAATCCCGTGTGACCCACTGCATCGTTTAGAAATATAATGTGTTTTTTAAATCTATATCAATATCTATCTTAAGGCAGTCACTGTATTATGCAGGCCCGTCGCAGGGGGGTGTGAGGCCCTGTGCGAACTCGAAACGCGAGGCCCTGCCCTGACACTTTTTTTCCTGTTATAATCTTTGACATGAATTCAGCACCACCTCGCGCGGTGCGTGAAGAGATCAGCACGCGCGTAGTCGAGACGTGTCACGCACACACGCACGCACGCACACACGCACACACGCACGCACACACACACACACACGCACGCACGCACACACTGTTAAGGCGCTTGGCATTGCGATATTGGTCGCGGTCTTTTTAGCTGCCATGTCTCTTTTGTCCTGTGGCAAAATGGCAGAGCAACTCAAAAGATTGAACCAAAAGGAGTCTTTTTCTTTTAATAGTTAGATTTTGGCAAAATGCGCCAAAATGGCAATGAGGCGGAGTCAATATTTGTTTTTTTTTCTCATCAAATCACGTTTTTGCCATGCCTCCACACACTCTGACAACATACGCTCCTTCTCCTCAAAAATGTTTTTGATGTGGATATTCGGACTAAACATTGGCAATAGCAGCGCTCACACACCTGTCTCACTGCTCCTCCTCCTCCTCCTCCTCCTCTGCTCACACCTGTCTCACTGCTCCTCCTCCTCCTCTGCTCACACCTGTCTCACTGCTCCTCCTCCTCCTCCTCCTCTGCTCACACACCTGTCTCGCTGCTCCTCCTCCTCCTCCTCTGCTCACACCTGTCTCGCTGCTCCTCCTCCTCCTCCTCTGCTCACACCTGTCTCGCTGCTCCTCCTCCTCCTCTGCTCACACCTGTCTCGCTGCTCCTCCTCCTCCTCCTCTGCTCACACACCTGTCTCACTGCTCCTCCTCCTCCTCCTCCTCCTCTGCTCACACCTGTCTCGCTGCTCCTCCTCCTCCTCCTCCTCCTCCTCTGCTCACACACCTGTCTCACTGCTCCTCCTCCTCCTCCTCTGCTCACACACCTGTCTCACTGCTCCTCCTCCTCCTCCTCTGCTCACACCTGTCTCACTCTCCTCCTCCTCTGCTCACACCTGTCTCACTGCTCCTCCTCCTCCTCTGCTCACACCTGTCTCGCTGCTCCTCCTCCTCCTCCTCTGCTCACACCTGTCTCGCTGCTCCTCCTCCTCCTCTGCTCACACCTGTCTCGCTGCTCCTCCTCCTCCTCTGCTCACACCTGTCTCGCTGCTCCTCCTCCTCTGCTCACACCTGTCTCGCTGCTCCTCCTCCTCCTCTGCTCACACCTGTCTCGCTGCTCCTCCTCCTCCTCCTCTGCTCACACCTGTCTCGCTGCTCCTCCTCCCCCTCCTCTGCTCACACCTGTCTCGCTGCTCCTCCTCCTCCTCCTCTGCTCACACCTGTCTCGCTGCTCCTCCTCCTCCTCCTCTGCTCACACCTGTCTCGCTGCTCCTCCTCCTCCTCCTCTGCTCACACCTGTCTCGCTGCTCCTCCTCCTCCACTGCTCACACCTGTCTCGCTGCTCCTCCTCCTCCTCTGCTCACACCTGTCTCGCTGCTCCTCCTCCTCCTCCTCTGCTCACACCTGTCTCGCTGCTCCTCCTCCTCCTCCTCTGCTCACACCTGTCTCGCTGCTCCTCCTCCTCTGCTCACACCTGTCTCGCTGCTCCTCCTCCTCCTCTGCTCACACCTGTCTCGCTGCTCCTCCTCCTCCTCCTCTGCTCACACCTGTCTCACTGCTCCTCCTCCTCCTCTGCTCACACCTGTCTCGCTGCTCCTCCTCCTCTGCTCACACCTGTCTCGCTGCTCCTCCTCCTCTGCTCTCACACCTGTCTCGTTGCTCCTCCTCCTCTGCTCACACCTGTCTCGCTGCTCCTCCTCCTCCTCCTCCTCCTCTGCTCACACCTGTCTCGCTGCTCCTCCTCCTCCTCCTCTGCTCACACCTGTCTCGCTGCTCCTCCTCCTCCTCCTTTGCTCACACCTGTCTCGCTGCTCCTCCTCCTCCTCCTCCTCCTTTGCTCACACCTGTCTCGCTGCTCCTCCTCCTCTGCTCACACCTGTCTCGCTGCTCCTCCTCCTCTGCTCACACCTGTCTCGCTGCTCCTCCTCCTCTGCTCACACCTGTCTCGTTGCTCCTCCTCCTCTGCTCACACCTGTCTCGCTGCTCCTCCTCCTCCTCCTCCTCCTCTGCTCACACCTGTCTCGCTGCTCCTCCTCCTCCTCCTCTGCTCACACCTGTCTCGCTGCTCCTCCTCCTCCTCCTTTGCTCACACCTGTCTCGCTGCTCCTCCTCCTCCTCCTCCTCCTTTGCTCACACCTGTCTCGCTGCTCCTCCTCCTCTGCTCACACCTGTCTCGCTGCTCCTCCTCCTCCTCCTCTGCTCACACCTGTCTCACTGCTCCTCCTCCTCTGCTCACACCTGTCTCGCTGCTCCTCCTCCTCCTCCTCTGCTCACACCTGTCTCGCTGCTCCTCCTCCTCCTCCTCCTCCTCCTCTGCTCACACCTGTCTCGCTGCTCCTCCTCCTCCTCTGCTCACACCTGTCTCGCTGCTCCTCCTCCTCCTCCTCCTCTGCTCACACCTGTCTCGCTGCTCCTCCTCCTCCTCCTCTGCTCACACCTGTTTCGCTGCTCCTCCTCCTCCTCCTCTGCTCACACCTGTCTCACTGCTCCTCCTCCTCTGCTCACACACCTGTCTCGCTGCTCCTCCTCCTCCTCCTCTGCTCACACCTGTCTCGCTGCTCCTCCTCCTCTCCTCCTCCTCCTCTGCTCACACCTTCTCGCTGCTCCTCCTCCTCCTCTGCTCACACCTGTCTCGCTGCTCCTCCTCCTCCTCCTCTGCTCACACCTGTCTCGCTGCTCCTCCTCCTCCTCCTCTGCTCACACCTGTCTCGCTGCTCTTCTCCTCCTCCTCCTCTGCTCACACCTGTCTCGCTGCTCCTCCTCCTCCTCTTCTGCTCACACCTGTCTCGCTGCTGCTCCTCCTCTGCTCACACCTGTCTCGCTGCTCCTCCTCCTCCTCCTCCTCTGCTCACACCTGTCTCGCTGCTCCTCCTCCTCCTCCCCCGCGCACACCTGTCTCGCTGCTCCTCCTCCTCCTCTGCTCACACCTGTCTCGCTGCTCCTCCTCCTCCTCCTCTGCTCACACCTGTCTCACTGCTCCTCCTCCTCCTCTGCTCACACCTGTCTCGCTGCTCCTCCTCCTCTGCTCACACCTGTCTCGCTGCTCCTCCTCCTCTGCTCACACCTGTCTCACTGCTCCTCCTCCTCTGCTCTCACACCTGTCTCGCTCCTCCTCCTCCTCCTCTGCTCACACCTGTCTCGCTGCTCCTCCTCCTCTGCTCACACCTGTCTCACTGCTCCTCCTCCTCCTCCTCTGCTCACACCTGTCTCGCTCCTCCTCCTCCTCCTCTGCTCACACCTGTCTCACTGCTCCTCCTCCTCCTCCTCCTCCTCTGCTCACACCTGTCTCGCTGCTCCTCCTCCTCCTCCTCTGTTCACACCTGTCTCGCTGCTCCTCCTCCTCCTCTGCTCACACCTGTCTCGCTGCTCCTCCTCCTCCTCCTCTGCTCACACCTGTCTCGCTGCTCCTCCTCCTCTGCTCACACCTGTCTCGCTGCTCCTCCTCCTCCTCTGCTCACACCTGTCTCGCTGCTCCTCCTCCTCCTCTTCTGCTCACACCTGTCTCGCTGCTCCTCCTCCTCCTCCTCTGCTCACACCTGTCTCGCTGCTCCTCCTCCTCCTCCTCTGCTCACACCTGTCTCACTGCTCCTCCTCCTCCTCTTCTGCTCACACCTGTCTCGCTGCTGCTCCTCCTCTGCTCACACCTGTCTCGCTGCTCCTCCTCCTCCTCCTCCTCCTCTGCTCACACCTGTCTCGCTGCTCCTCCTCCTCCTCTGCTCACACCTGTCTCGCTGCTCCTCCTCCTCCTCCTCTGCTCACACCTGTCTCGCTGCTCCTCCTCCTCCTCTGCTCACACCTGTCTCGCTGCTCCTCCTCCTCTGCTCACACCTGTCTCGCTGCTCCTCCTCCTCTGCTCACACCTGTCTCACTGCTCCTCCTCCTCCTCCTCTGCTCACACCTGTCTCGCTCCTCCTCCTCCTCCTCTGTTCACACCTGTCTCGCTGCTCCTCCTCCTCTGCTCACACCTGTCTCACTGCTCCTCCTCCTTCTCCTCTGCTCACACCTGTCTCGCTCCTCCTCCTCCTCCTCTGCTCACACCTGTCTCACTGCTCCTCCTCCTCCTCTGCTCACACCTGTCTCGCTGCTCCTCCTCCTCCTCCTCTGCTCACACCTGTCTCACTGCTCCTCCTCCCTCCTCCTCTGCTCACACCTGTCTCGCTGCTCCTCCTCCTCCTCTGCTCACACCTGTCTCGCTGCTCCTCCTCCTCCTCCTCTGCTCACACCTGTCTCGCTGCTCCTCCTCCTCCTCCTCTGCTCACACCTGTCTTGCTGCTCCTCCTCCTCTGCTCACACCTGTCTTGCTGCTCCTCCTCCTCCTCTGCTCACACCTGTCTCGCTGCTCCTCCTCTGCTCACACCTGTCTCGCTGCTCCTCCTCCTCTGCTCACACCTGTCTCGCTGCTCCTCCTCCTCCTCTGCTCACACCTGTCTCACTGCTCCTCCTCCTCCTCTGCTCACACCTGTCTCACTGCTCCTCCTCCTCCTCCTCTGCTCACACCTGTCTCGCTGCTCCTCCTCTGCTCACACCTGTCTCGCTGCTCCTCCTCCTCTGCTCACACCTGTCTCGCTGCTGCTCCTCCTCCTCCTCTGCTCACACCTGTCTCACTGCTCCTCCTCCTCCTCTGCTCACACCTGTCTCACTGCTCCTCCTCCTCCTCTTCTGCTCACACCTGTCTCGCTGCTCCTCCTCCTCTGCTCACACCTGTCTCACTGCTCCTCCTCCTCCTCCTCTGCTCACACCTGTCTCGCTCCTCCTCCTCCTCTGCTCACACCTGTCTCACTGCTCCTCCTCCTCCACTGCTCACACCTGTCTCGCTGCTCCTCCTCCTCCTCCTCTGCTCACACCTGTCTCACTGCTCCTCCTCCTCCTCTCTGCTCACACCTGTCTCGCTGCTCCTCCTCCTCCTCCTCCTCCTCTGCTCACACCTGTCTCGCTGCTCCTCCTCCTCCTCTGCTCACACCTGTCTCACTGCTCCTCCTCCTCCTCTGCTCACACCTGTCTCACTGCTCCTCCTCCTCCTCCTCTGCTCACACCTGTCTCGCTGCTCCTCCTCCTCTGCTCACACCTGTCTCACTGCTCCTCCTCCTCCTCCTCTGCTCACACCTGTCTCGCTCCTCCTCCTCCTCTGCTCACACCTGTCTCACTGCTCCTCCTCCTCCACTGCTCACACCTGTCTCGCTGCTCCTCCTCCTCCTCCTCCTCCTCTGCTCACACCTGTCTCACTGCTCCTCCTCCTCCTCCTCTGCTCACACCTGTCTCGCTGCTTCTTCTCCTCCTCCTCCTCCTCTGCTCACACCTGTCTCGCTGCTCCTCCTCCTCCTCTGCTCACACCTGTCTCGCTGCTCCTCCTCCGCAAGTATCCATCTCTCCTACACTGCGATCATTCCCGTTACTTTCTTTGTATCTCACTCAGACACTGCTAAAGTTATCTGACAGCTCCGTAAAGTTTTTTCGGAGGACCCGCTGCGTACATAGCTGCCCGCGCGCCTGCCTGTTTACAAATCGCTTTTGGTGAAAATTTGACTTTACTTGTAAAAATGTTCTTTTGATCAAACGAAATCAAAGAGGTCCAGAGAAACGGGTTTAGGGGTCCAAACTTGGAGTGCAGTCTGCCCTTTGGGGACCCTTGAACTAGTGTATTTATAAAATTTAAAAAAAGGAAGGAAGATTGCGAGGCCCCTGTGTGGTGCGAGGCCCCTGTGTGGTGCGAGGCCCCCGCTGACGGAACGAACAGCAGCGTGTGGAGGAGCTGTGTGGAACATTTAAATAGAACAGAAGAGTTGCAGAGCGAGCAGAGGAGAAACACTTCACACTGATGATTGTTTCCTGAACTTTTGTATCTTGTTATATTCCTGTCCTTGTCTGGTGCACACTGGGGACCCTCGCACATTTATTCCAATTTGGTTTTACTGCAGATGACAAAAAACGGACTCTGACTCTTGAATACCTCTGACGTAGGGACAGAAGTATTCTGTAAATTGCTAAAATCTCAGAAAAGATCAATTTATCTGAACTTTCTGAGCAGGTGTGAACTGTGTGTGTGTGTGTGTATATGTGTGTGTGTGTATGTGTGTGTATATGTATGTATGTGTATGTATGTATGTATGTATGTGTGTCTCTGTGTGTGTGTGTGTGTGTATATGTGTGTATGTGTATGTGTGTGTATATGTATGTATGTGTATGTGTGTGTGTGTATGTATGTATGTATGTGTGTCTCTGTGTGTGCGTGTGTGTGTGTGTATATGTGTGTATGTGTATGTGTGTGTGTGTATGTATGTGTGTCTCTGTGTGTGTGTGTGTGTGTGTGTGTGTGTGTGTGTGTGTGTATGTATGTATGTATGTGTGTCTCTGTGTGTGTGTGTATGTAATGTATGTATGTGTGTCTCTGTGTGTGTGTGTATGTGTGCGTCCATGCGGGCAGAGCAGATAAAGGCGCGCTCATGTATCAGCGCTCGCACCTGTCTGTGGAGGACCCTGTAATGGATGGACACGAGGCGGACCATCACTCATCTGCCCCCGAGTGTGTGTGTGTGAGTGTGTGTGTGTCTTTGTGTGTGCGTGTGTGTGTGTGTGTGTGAGCGTGTCTTTGTGTGTGAGCGTGTGTGTGTGTGTGCATATTTATTCTAAAGGAGACAGACAGAGACAGTAAACTGTGGATCTACAAGACGCTGATATGTTTATGTTCTTCACTGTGTTTTCAGATATTTCTGTTCAGACACACACTGAAGGTTTCAGACACACACTAGAGGTTTCAGACACACACTGAAGGTTTCAGACACACACTGGAGGTTTCAGACACACACTGGAGGTTTCAGACACACACTGGAGGTTTCAGACACACACTGAAGGTTTCAGACACACACTGAAGGTTTCAGACACACACTGGAGGTTTCAGACACACACTGAAGGTTTCAGACACACACTGAAGGTTTCAGACACACACTGAAGGTTTCAGACACACACTGGAGGTTTCAGACACACACTGGAGGTTTTAGACACACACTGAAGGTTTCAGACACACACTGGAGGTTTTAGACACACACTGAAGGTTTCAGACACACACTGAAGGTTTCAGACACACACTGGAGGTTTTAGACACACACTGAAACAACAACACAAGTAAAAGAAGGAATGGAGTGATGAAACAGAGCTAGCCTGGTCTTACCCGGTCTTACCTGGTAAGACCAGGTAAGACCAGGTCTATGTTGGTCTGCGTTGGTCTGTGTTGGTCCGTGTTGGTTTGTGTCGGTCTGTGTGGGTCCGTGTTGGTCTGTGTGACCAATCCTGGGACTGAGACCCAGGATTCTGTAGACCCAGGACTGAGGCTATAGACCCAGGACTGAGGCTAGAGACCCAGGACTGAGACCCAGGACTCTGTAGACCCAGGACTGAGGCTGGAGACCCAGGACTGAGGCTGGAGACCCAGGACTGAGACCCAGGACTGATGGAATGTTTTATTGCACATATTTTTTAACAAACTGCAGATGCAGCCGAGCACTGACCTCTGGGACCCGGCCTCTGCGGCGGTCAGAGGGTCAGAGGTTGCGCGCCTGCCCTGCTCGCTGTTGCCACGGTGATGGACGGCGCCCGGCCCGCCAGAGAAAGACTGCATTTGTCCCCGTCCCTGCTCACACACTGGGACGGTCCCACGCCTCCATCACTCACTTGGAACTGCTGTAATGTGATTATCAGGACCACACGTAGAGAGAGGGTCTGCAGGATGTGGAGGAGACGGCCCCCTCAGGGTCCCAACGAGGAGTCCCAACCCAGGGTCCCCTCAGGGTCCCAACGAGGAGTCCCAACCCAGGGTCCCCTCAGGGTCCCACTGCGGGGCCCCATTTCATAATATGGTTTGCTTTGAACTTCACCACTATTTTTATCATTAATAGAATAGAATATATCTTTATCGTCTGTTCAGATTGAGCAGAGGTTTGTCTTTCAACACGGCACTGTTAAAAATCATTTATAAAACACATTTAAAATACATTTAGCAAAGACACAACAGTTCGTCATTTTGGCAGTTCTAGAGCAGTGACTGCAGACGGGACAAACCTTCTCTTGTAGATGTTTTTTCGGGCCATCGGGTTCTGTGTCTCCTGATGGCAGCAGGTGTGTGGCCTCCTCGGCACTGATTGGCTGTGCAGCTCAGAGCAGAGCACTGATTGGCTGTGCAGCTCAGAGCAGAGCACTGATTGGCTGTGCAGCTCAGAGCAGTGTGTGGTGTTTGGGTGACTTTGCGGGCCTGCTTTACTACACTATAATGGGACAGCGGGTAATTCTCCTAATCCTACATTTCGGAATAATATTAATAATCCTGAATTTTTCCAACAGGATCAATAAAGTATCTATCTTTCTATTATTGACTATTCTGATCATTTTTGCTTTGTACCGTCATAATAAAAAAAGGATTTAGATTGATTCTTGCATGTTTGAATTATTGTCTGCATAGGTTTCCTCTGGGTGCTCCGGTTTGCCTTACCATGTATGATAGAAACATGTATGATATGGACGGCCTCTGTATGAGGACCCTGCTTCGTAAAGACAGTAAAGGATGTGACGGCCCAATTCAATTCAATGTATTTATGCCCTAAAGCACAACAGCTGTTATCTCTGAGGACTTCACAGAGCTGTCGACTCTCCAACACAGATCAGAGAATCACACACGGAAACCCATGTAGACCCAGGACTGAGACTCTACACCCAGGACTGAGGCTGTAGACCCAGGACTGAGACTGTAGACCCAGGACTGAGGCTGTAGATCCAGGACTGAGGCTGTAGCTCCAGGACTGAGGCTGTAGACCCAGGACTGAGGCTGTAGACCCAGGACTGAGGCTGTAGACCCATGACTGAGGCTGTAGACCCAGGACTGAGGATGTAGACCCAGGACTGAGACTGTAGACCCAGGACTGAGGCTGTAGACCCAGGACTGAGACTGTAGACCCAGGACTGAGACTGTAGATCCAGGACTGAGGCTGTAGACCCAGGACTGAGGCTGTAGACCCAGGACTGAGACTGTAGACCCAGGACTGAGGCTGTAGATCCAGGACTGAGGCTGTAGACCCAGGACTGAGGCTGTAGACCCAGGACTGAGACTGTAGACCCAGGACTGAGGCTGTAGACCCAGGACTGAGGCTGTAGACCCAGGACTGAGACTGTAGACCCAGGACTGAGACTGTAGATCCAGGACTGAGGCTGTAGACCCAGGACTGAGGCTGTAGACCCAGGACTGAGACTGTAGACCCAGGACTGAGGCTGTAGATCCAGGACTGAGGCTGTAGACCCAGGACTGAGGCTGTAGACCCAGGACTGAGACTGTAGACCCAGGACTGAGGCTGTAGATCCAGGACTCAGACTGTAGACCCAGGACTGAGGCTGTAGACCCAGGACTTAGGCTGTAGAATGAGCTCGGTCCAGGCCCCTGAGTCCGGGTCGGGGAGTCCACAGATTGAAGAGGCCGGGTTCAGGGTTCCATCATCACGCCATGAAACTGACAGCGGGTGAATAGCAATGAACAGATTACAGTTGAAGACCTAATAGTACTAGTAATGTTTATTTATACAGCGCATTTTACAGACCAAGGTACAGACCCAAAGCACTTTACAATGTTCAGAGTCAGATATTGTTCCAGTCCTTCCACACACGGTGATGACAGAAGCGAGTCCAGAACACCCTGGACCATCAGCTCCAACACCATCCATTCACTCTCTCATTTACATTCAGACCTATTGTGCATGTTTTTAGTGGTAGGAGAAACCGGAGCACCCGAAGGAAACCTATGCAGACACGGGGAGAACATGCAAACTCAACTCAGAAAAGCCTTGTTCTGACCGGGATTCGAACCCAGGACCTTCTTGCTGAGAAGCGAGAGTACTATCCACTCAGCCATTCAGTATGATGACATGTAAAGTAGAAGAGGACAGTACTGTTACCAGACTTCTCCAGCAGGGGGCGACACAGCTCACTGACAATCTGTGTTTTTAGACAAAAGGTTGTGTTTCCAAGTCTTCCCTGAGTCTTACAACCATCTGCTGGAGTAAAGAGTGTTTTAGGTGTGTGTCTCTGTGTGTGTGTGTGTGTGTGTGTGTGTGTGTTTGTGTGTCTGTGTTGTGTGTGAATGTGTGTGTCCTGTCCCTGGCCGGTGTCTGTGTGTGTGTGTCTGTGTCTCTGTGTGTGTCTCCTGTCCCTGGCCGGTGTCTGTGTGTGTGTGTCTGTGTCTCTGTGTGTGTCTCCTGTCCCTGGCCGGTGTCTGTGTGTGTGTGTCTGTGTCACTGTGTGTGTCTCCTGTCCCTGGCCGGTGTCTGTGTGTGTGTGTCTGTGTCTCTGTGTGTGTGTCCTGTCCCTGGCCGGTGTCTGTGTGTGTGTGTCTGTGTCTCTGTGTGTGTGTCCTGTCCCTGGCCGGTGTCTGTGTGTGTGTGTCTGTGTCTCTGTGTGTGTGTCCTGTCCCTGGCCGGTGTTCCCTTCTCTGTGTGTGTGTGTGTTAGAGCCCTGCACGGGCCTATTATCTGGGCCCAAGCCCGGCCCTGGCCCGACATGGTTTCTGAATTCTCAGGCCCAAAACCCATATCAAGGCCGACTTTGTTTGTTTTTTTTAACCTCCCATAACAATGTTATAGTATATAGTGCCGCACACTATAAAAACGGCAGGGAAACTGAAAACAATTAAGGATTTCTTTATTCCTTCCAACTTTAACCATGTGATTGATGCAGTCAGGTCTGTGGCTGGATATGATGAGGAAACAAGTCAATACAAGACTCCATCCTTGGCCCTCAAACTCGGCCATAGCCTCAGAAAGCTAGCAGATATTCTTGAATGTGACTCAAAAATGGAGCATTGTGTTGATGAACTATTTATTAAAAACCTCCAACGAAGCCGGCTGCTTTTTGAGAAGAGGTGGGACGTCTGTGTTTCTTCTGCTGCCCTACAGACCCTCCGGCAAGCCAAGTGGAACACTCCGGACCTGCTCCCTCTGACTGAGGACGTTAGAAATTAAAGGGAAAAGAAGTCGGAAAGTGCCGGTTCTTTTGACTCCTGAAATGATTGCTTCGATGGAGGTGCTGGTGGAGAACAGAAGGGCCTGTTCCATCTCTGACCATAACCCATACTTCTTTTCCCGCCCGGGCGCAGACACCCACATCAGGGGATCAGACTCCCTACGCCAGGTAGCCAAAGAATGTGGTGCGGTGCATCCAGAGATGCTATCCTCAACCAAACTTAGAAAGCACATAGCTACTATGTCTACAGTTCTCAATATGAAAGAGAATGAGATGGACATACTTGCCAACTTCCTCGGCCATGACATTCGCATCCACAGGCAATATTACAGACTACCAGAGGGGACACTGGAGCTGGCCAAAATCAGCAAAGTGTTGATGGCCATGGAGCAGGGAAGAGTGACGGAATTCGAAGGAAAGAGCCTCGACCAGATACAAATTGAGCCTGAAGGTAATTCTTGATATTATTAAAATATGTATGATTTTTTTCCCCTAAAGGCCACTTGTATTTTTATTTTCTGTGCGACAGGGAGAGCAGTAGAGATCCTCTCACAAACGGACGGGCTAAAAGAAACTTCAAGCGGAGAACCTTCAACCATTCATCCAGATGCACCCCATGGTAGTGGCAGTGCCCCTTCTGGTAAGTGTACCAGGTGGGGGATTACAGCCAGGCTGCTTGGTCCTAACCCTGGGAGTGTATATTGCTAATATATTTTTATTTCTCTCCCTAGAACGTGTAAGAAAGCCATGGTCTGCATCTGAGGTGAAGGCTGTGGAGAAGACCATGACACCTTTCATACAGACTGGAAAAGTCCCTGGGAAGTCTCACTGCCTGGCCTGCATTAATGCCTCACCAGATGACCTTAGACATCGGACATGGAGTGGCATTAAATTCTATGTCAAAAATACAACTGCACTGCATTTCAAAAAAAAATATCAATATTAAAATGTCCTAATCCTTTAAAAGATGTGTCTGTTTTGTATTGACAGTTATGGAATGTTTTGTATTACTTAAAGTAGTCCCTGTATAAAGATCAGTGTAGAGTATATCTAAAGTGACCCCAGTATTGGCAAAAATACGGCAAGATTTTAGGAGTTAAAACCATGGCTGTGGGTCCCATATGGAACGGCCCTGTCTTAGGGACCCACCAGGTAACACAAACGTGTGTGTGTCTGGCCGGTGGTCCCTTCTCTATGTGTGTGTGTGTGTGTGTGTGTGTCTGGCTGGTGGTCCCTTCTCTGTGTGTGTGTGTGTGTGTGTGTCTGGCCGGTGGTCCCTTCTCTGTGTGTGTGTGTGTGTGTGTGTGTGTCTGTCTGGCCGGTGGTCCCTTCTCTATGTGTGTGTGTGTGTGTGTGTGTCTGGCCGGTGGTCCCTTCTCTGTGTGTGTGTGTGTGTGTGTGTGTGTGTGTGTGTGGCCGGTGGTCCCTTCTCTCTGTGTGTGTGTGTGTGTGTGTGTGTGGCCGGTGGTCCCTTCTCTCTCTGTGTGTGTGTGTGTGTGTGTGTGTGGCCGGTGGTCCCTTCTCTCTGTGTGTGTGTGTGTGTGTGTGTGTGTGTGGCTGGTGGTCCCTTCTCTCTGTGTGTGTGTGTGTGTAAGTAAGTAAGTAAGTAAGTAAGTCATTTATATACCGCCTTCTCACTGCACATCGGAGTCTCAAAGCGGTTTACAATTGTTATTTATTTATTTATT